TCATATATTCACTTATGCAATTTGTCTTTCCTGGTTACTAATAGCTTTTTGGAGCGACTAGCCTCAGAATGCACTTCAGATAACAGGTTTCACTTAAGTTAGGACTAGTGACTCCTAGGGACCCCACAAATGGCTGTCACACATCAAACCCTTAGGTGGGTCCACCAAATTTGATATGGTTGGGTCCATACATTAGAATAAGTAGAAACAGTCTATCTTCCTTGCCCCGATTAGATCATGCCTATGACCCAATTGTGACTTATGTCCGTCTTCTCAATTTGGTTCATCTTATGCTCAAAGAATGAATGAATTGGTAACAGGCAGCTGTTTTCCTCCAGTTCTCTGGTTAGTAGTATCTCTAGTGTACTAATGACTTCTTGTTGGCAGTTATTGGAGTATTTCAATTCGAGTCTTGATTATACATCAAGTGACCAAGAACAGAAGATATTAATTGGGATATTTTGCCTTATTTTGCATCATTCAGCAAGCAAGGTGCTCATTGAGCCTGCGAAGGCCATAATCTTGAACAAACCACTGGTTTCTTTGACAGATGGTATAATACAGGAAGCTTGTGCAAAGGGCCCATCTTTACTTCAATACAATCAGGAAACAGACTTTGGGGGATTCATGATTTTGATTCTTCAATTAATGTTTTTCTCTCTAAGAAGGTATGCAACTGGTATTGCATATTTCATTGCAATTAACTTGTATATGACGTAATGATTCTCTTTTTTCAGTTTGCATGCCATCCTAGATCCAAGTATTGACTGGCAGGAATTCCTCCAGCATTCAGATAACACCCAGTTTTTCTCTGTTGTTGGCATCCCGTGCCATGATTTGTGCCGTCTGATGCACTTCGGTCCATATCCTGTTAAGCTTATTGCTTCACAATGCCTGTTGGAATTGCTTACCAGAATTTCAGATCAGAGGAGCTATCTTAATGCTGAATTAAGATGCTCTGCGCAATACATGAAGTCCATTATTGCTGTGATAGAGGGTTTAGTCTTGAGTCAAGACAGTAGAGTTGCTGAAAATTGCGGGTCCTGTCTCTCAATGATTTTAGGTTGGGAGAAATTCGGAAGCCAGGAGAATATGGTGGGCAGAGAATCAAAATGGTCCAGGCTAATAATGGAGGAATTTGCAGTTGCCTTGACTGCTCCTGGTTTGACGTCAAAATCATTCAGTAATCAGCAGAAGATTGCATCAAATATAGCTGTTTCATTGCTCAAACTAAGCCAAGTTCCAGAATGGCTGACATCATTGTTTGATAGTTCTTTGATATCTGGTGTAGTTGGTAATCTTTCTGCTAGGAATGTCACTGCAGATATTGTTAAGCTATTCAGTGAGCTTATGACTAAGAAATATCTCACTCAAGAGCACATTGTCTCCCTGCATAACTTATTCCAGGTTAGTATCAACCCTAAATGTTCTTATGGTAAATGTGCTCTTCATAATATACTCCCTCTGTAAAGAAATATAAGAGTGTCAGAGGGAGTACAAACTACAAATTATGATGTTGTGCAAGTAGTTTGGCAGGATGATCTCTTTTGCACTGTTCACTTTGAGTTCTGCGCAACTGTGTACTACTCCGTCCGTCCCATAATGTAAGACGTTTTTTGACACTACGGAGGGAGTACTTGATATTATTTATTCTTTGATTTCCTGGGCCTTTCCTACAGTTTCTGGTGAAAAGCAGACGCTGAGTACACAGCCTGCATATAAAACTGGGAGTGTGCATCTGATTATTTTCTATTTTCCATTTCTTTTAATTTTATAAAATTAGTTTAGTTTTCATAAGTGTGTGCTGAATATATGATGTTCTTCAGACCTTTATGCGTAGATGCACACGTAAACAATTATTCATATCCCAATGCAGTGTGCCCGGTATGTGTTGATAGCTCTTGTGGATGTGGTGCTCCCTTTATGGAAGTGAACCGATGCCAACTAAATACAAAAACAGAAAACACACATCATCTCTTCCTTCCAGGCTTTTAACTTTGGCGTATCATGGCGCAGGTCTGCAGAAGACAGGTCTATGAGGGGAGTTGTTCTAAGTCGGAGTTGTCGGAGCAAAAGGCAGAAGAAACGGTGGCAAGGAGCCCCGACGAAGTGTGTGCTTTGCTCTTTGGCATCGTGCTGAATCAGCGTACAGCCTCGTGCACGTTGCAGATGGAGCAGCAGAATCTTCTGCGTGAGATCGATCTGTTCTTCCAGGAGTCGAGCCAAGGAGAGTAGCATTAAGACCAGCTAACTTGTTCAGCTCTACCGATCTTTTCCCACTATGTATAGTATAGCCTCTAGATGGTGCGCGGTAGTCCTCATGTCCTCTGAACCCTGAGAAGTTTTGCAACTGCTTATATGAGAGTGGTGGTATGCAACCTGTGCAAATTTGTCATGGATCCAGCCTTGCAATCTGAACGAGCAAGGAACACGGTTGATATATAGAATGGTGTTAAAGCTGATGCTCCGACAAGCAAACTGATAGTATTTGCTATGGTTAATTGGTGGTGCCAATCGCTTGTACAGTGAGTGTGAAGTATGCAAAGCCCATTCCTTTTTGGGGAGTCCGAGCTCAAAGCATGCAAAATACAAACCGTGGGAAGTTGGAACCATGCAGTTCTATACTTGAACCTTCCTTAGCTAGGGTATGGACAACACAGTCCTATCAGTTTCAGAACTGAAACTTCCACTTACTGTATGGAAGCAAGGAAATTACTGTCCATAATTCAGGATGGGTACATAAAACGGAGGTGATGCAACTGTGCTCCGTTTATTTCCTTACTTTTTTTTTTTGAGAAAAATTTACAGTTTTGCTAAAGCACATCTAGATGTGCCATAAGTATCGCACATTTAAATTCTATGTCATTGATCTTACGTCGAGATTCGTGTGGATTTTTTTTCTTTTTTCCTTTTCTATTTATGTTTGATTCACTCACTTAGATGTGCAATAACTAAAGCACATCTAGATATGCCCTAGACACACCCAAAAATTTATTTCCTTACTACTACCTCCATCGGATCTGGCTCCTCTAACTTGTCTCTTGCCAAGTTAGGAACCTAACATAGCCTATATCCACCACATAAATCAGATCCGATGGCTCTTCTTTTCCCAGTACTTTAATGCCGCTGTTGCCTCACCCTCGATTCAGGCCGCCGCCGCCTCACCCTCGATTCAGGCCGCCGTTGCTTCTCGCTCGATTCAGATCGCCGCTACCCCTCGCTGATCCATGCCCCTGCAGCTGCTGCCCCTTCCTTTATTCAGTCCGCCGTTGGTCACCATCACGGACTAGGGCGAGCTTGGTCGAGTTGATGGCGGCGTAGCGAGGGGAAGGCGGGGCGAGACAGCGCCGCACGGAGGAAAGAGATGCTGGATGGGCTCGCGCAGAGGAGAACCAGCAACTGACCGAGGAGCTCGGACGGCTGATGAGTAGGCGAACTCGTGGGGAAGAAGGTAGCGCAGCGGCTTGCTTCTGAATTTTTCTCAATCCTGCATCTTTTGTCTGTATCACTTATTAGCGCTTATTCAGTATCACAGGAACAAAACAATCCTGTATCTTTTGTTTGTGTCACTGCATGTGATTTCCTCAATTAAGAAGATATGTATATCAAATTTGGTTTGAGTTCGTCGGCGATTTTGTTTGATCCGTGGAGAAACTGATGTATCTAGGAAGTAAAAAAGGATCTTCCAGAAACTAAATAAGTTGAACAAAATAACAAGTTTAATATTTCCTGTACAACTTGAAGGTCTACAAAAGTTCAGCAATTGAAAGTCTACAAAAGTTCAGCAATTGAAAGCCCACAGAAGTTCAACAAAATAATGATTCTGGCAATTGAAGTGTGTGATTGTGTTCAAGAAAAAGATTAGATATTGCCCAATTACCAGCTTCACGATTTATTGAAAGGGTCATATGAACTCTACAGTCAATTCTAGTCTCAGCTCTTGGATTCTTAACAACATTATCTCTTTTGTCTGTTGCCTTTTTACCCTCTTTGAAACAAACATATTTGCAAGAGGTGACCTTCTGATCAAATTTGCTTATGTTTTTATACCTTTGTCGGATGCTGAACCCCATCCTTCCTCCATAATACCCCCAAAATTTCCAAGCCTCATCTAGGGTGTTGAACTTCATGCCTAGCCGAGGTATCCAAGTAGGCAATACATTTTCTCTGTAGAATGCACAAGTGCAGAAAATAGTGTCACTCATTTGCAAAAAAAGAAAAAAAAGAGAGGAATCCAGCACAAAATCGAAAATGTTATTCTCACTTGCTTGTTTGAATCTGCTTCTGCTTGGTTCTCCATTAGAGATTGACTCCAGAAATTTGAACTCTTAGCAGATCTAAGACCTGGACTTGGTTCTTCCAATCCGGACACTCATGCATGAAGAAGTGTGAAAAAGAAGAAGAAAACGTGAGGAAGGAAGGAGGGGGAATGTGTGGGAGCTGTGGTCCTATTTTGGCGGTAAAGTGAGCAGAAGTTTCCCTTTTCCCTTCAAAACAGAGCAGCGATGGAAGTAGTACAAAGCTGTAGCAAGGAGTAGTACTGAGAAAAGAAGAGCCATCGGATCTGATTTGTGTTCGCACATGAATACGTCACCATATACCTCCAACGCTGAGGGTGATGCATTGCAGCTCACGTCGAAAGAGACCCGTCCGGAAGCGCGGTATGCAAGCAATCCGGTGGGTGCTTTTAAGGACCCGAAACCCCACACGCCCGGGAGGGACCCCGTCAGGGCACGCGACGGCTATGGGTTGCCCTAAGTCGACCTGATCACCCCTAGGGCCTCGAGGTTCGTCGCCCTGCAACAAGAACGAACGAAAAACGAGGAAGAAGAAGAACAAGGGAGAGAGATAAAAGTAAAGATAAAAAGTGGTAGGTGATTTGATCGATTGTGTGTTGTTTAATCGGCCGTCACTCCTTACGTATATAAAAGGCGGCTGGACTTCCCATGCAAGGAAAATGCTTGGATTCACGTCCAAAATCCTAGTCAAATTTGGATTGGTTTTGTCCGAACTTTCCAAAACAGTTCGGTTTAAAACTGGCTGCATCTTGCGGGTCTTCTTTGTGGCAGTAAACGACCTCGGATGAAAACGCGCCCAAAAGCATATTTACTTGTTTCGACGAGGCGAACAACTTTCATGTTGAACATTTTTTGATTCGAAGCCATCTTCTGAGCCAAAACGGTCGTGCAAAACATCCGATTGCCCGCGCTACCCATCAGACATGTGTCTGGTGGAGCGCGCCATATTTCGCCTCCTGCATTCCGATAGCTCTAACTTTTGCATACGAATTTGGATTGAAATGATTTTTATATCAAAATCAATCGTTTCGACGAGACGAAGACACTTTGTGTAGATCAATTTTCCAGATGAGGCCGTCTTGGGGGCATAATCAACCAAACAGTACTCTGAGTGCCCAAATCGTAGTACTTCGAGCACAATTTCGGCCATCGAGATGAGATCGGATGGCGATGGCCTAAACTTCAAAGATATTCATTTCGACAATACAGAACTTTTTCATGTATATCACTTCTTCATTTGAGACCATCTTAATTAAGTTCTTGACCGTGCCAAAATCTGATGTCAACACATGCCCCTTTGTTTTTCGGCAAAGCTTGCATGCCGAAAAATAACTTGTACCATGTTGGTTCTAAGGACGATGTCAACACTCCATCGGCCATTTTTCATGTGCTTAGGGCGATAAGTATATATCAGCCATTACTTGTTTGAATCCTTGATGAAACTTGGGTGAAACCTTCTCAATTTCATTAACAATCTGGTGATAAAGTTTCATAGATATGTATCCCAAAGCCATCCTCCAAACCATATTATTCACCCTTCTGCTAGGTTCTTGCAGATAACCAATAATGAACTCCCTCTAATCCTTGCTTTCGCCAGCATAAAAATTTCATTAGTGGCCGAAAGGTGGGCTTTGGTTCGGCCTTACTTATGTCGGTGAGACGAAGCATCAACTGTTGATAGATATGCGATGCACCATGATCAACATGGTAGCCGGATGCTTATCGTGCCAACTCATTTGATCTTCAATTGTCATGTCTAAATATATGAGCAATACTAAAGCAACCCAAGGTAAATTCTATATCTAGACATACCTCAAGGTAAACTATAAGTGATTCGTCAAAACATTGATAACCCTTGGATATTTGTTGCACTACTCATAAGAATCACTGAAAGCCTCAATGTGTTTAGCACCTATGGCACCAAAAAGCTCCAAACCGAATAACATTGCATATTCGGCATTGATCATTTGTGCATAAATATTTTAAGCGGCATGAGGCTTCATAGAATAGCACAATAAGGAGATATATAAACAACACCAACACCTTGGCCCTTGCTACAAATTTAATCATCAATATATAATCACCATGGTACTAGAGAGATAAAGCTACATCAGTATTATTCATGATGTCAATATGATGCTCAACAATAAAATCAACCATGATTTGGCCTTACGTAAATTCTGAAAACTAATAAGCCAAAGCACACCCAATCAAATCATAAGCCCACTTTGCAATTTTGGTGAACGGGTCTATGATATCTTCAATGGCATCAATTTGACAAATTTCTATGCAAGCACTTATCTCAATCTCTACTCAAACTAAGGACGATGTTAGAATACCACGCCGACCATTCTTAGAAATATTCTTAGGGCGATAGTTAAGTATCGGCCATTACCATGAGGTCCATGTAGAATTCATCCACCAAATCATGAATAGCCGAAATAAACAAATGAAATAGCAATAAATTATTTCGGCCCCTTTATATTAGCAACAAAAATGTAACTAATCAAATGTATAGTGATTTGGCAATACCCTCTCATGATATAGAAAATTATGTTGCATCCATGGATCAAAATAAATCCATGGAGGGTAATTGATCATACCTATGGATGAATTCCATGTCAAAGGCATCAATAGCATTGTTGAAGAAAATGGATGATGTGCTAACCGAAGATTTTGATGTTGTGATGCACACCTTCGGCTTAATTGTTTGTTGCTTCCATTCTTCTCTTTCTTCACTTTTATTGTACTTGTTGCAATAGAAGTATGCACATCATTTTTGTTATGATTGATCCTCTTGGGAACCCATGC